CGCCCCGGAGCTCGCAGGTAGCAATCCGCCACCTCGACCTCCGGGGCGAGAAAGCCCCGTTCGTAAGTGCGGATCCGACATAAGTCGGATCCGCGTAAGTCGGGGACTGCCTGTACTCACAATATCAACATCAATTGATATTCACTTTTCACAGGTATGGATGACTATATCAGGACCAAAGCAAGGGAGAATCAGGCCCTAAATAATTAGCTGTCGTAGGGTTGGCCCTTCTAATCACCCACTTCCAGAATGCAGGTTGTATGGCAGAGCTGCCTCAACTTTTCCTCTTGTGCACCCTTCTCCACCAGCAATGGAAACTGCCCATAGGCCCCTCCACACTCATTACTGCACCCTTGGCTCTGCAATGGAGCTTGGGCTGAAGGTTGAACTGGAGGCAGAACTGGGGATAGGGATAAGAGCAGAGTTGTCCTGGGGACATGAGGGCAGAACTGGTCTGGGAACACAGCAGGGTTGGGTGTCATTCCCTTCCTGCTCCCCCCAAGGGAGGCTGGCCTGGGCCCCAAGATTCACCCCCTGAATGTTCTGAATCATCCCCTAAGAGGGGTAGGCCCAACAGTTTGGGAATTACTGTTATACGGGATGGTAAATATTTCAATTACTCTTTCTCTTCCTATGCTTGCTAGTGAGCACTCTCTGCTCAGCCTGTCCCTGATCAGTCAAACTGTAAGCCTGCCTTGTGAAATCTGCTGTGCAGCAACAAGCGCTTCATCTCGTCCATCAAATCACTGGACTAAGGAAAGCTGACTCCACTGAGCACCACAGCTTACTAGGCAGGCAGACTATTGCCAGCAGTAGCACTGGTTTAGAGTGAAATATGCGATTGCCCTCAGTTTTGTCTGAGGAAAAGGGCACTTTTTCTTGAACACTTCCAAAAGCACAGGGAATACAGCATGCAATTGTATTTCCAATTTACAACTGAAGACAGCACCAAGTATGAGTTATAGTCAACCAAATAATCTATTAAAATAACTTGGCCTGATAGCAAAACTGGCAACTCATTTTTTCCCCAGTATTGTCACTGCTAGGTAAACCTATATTGTTAAGAGGGTAGCAAGATGTACAGCATGCTGTAATTCCATAAGGTGTTGCTGTAAGTGGATCTCTGTAGGAATTTTTCTGATTTCCTTTACAGTCTGAAACTATAAAGAACTTTTACAAATTGCTTCAGGGGCTAGAGGCAGTTTTGTCCAGAAAAGAGCTTACTACCTAATGGATAAAATTTGCAATTTTCCAACATTTTTAAACCCATATGCTTAATGCTCACTAGTACTGTGACTTGATAAAAGCAATTTGCTGCAACTTATTCTCATCTGCTAATGTCTTCTTTTATGCCATAAGTCTCCTCACATCATGGGCTCTCATCTTATGGTCACCTTCCTTATCTATTTCTACAGAGTTTCACGCATGACTCTAGCAGTTGGGTAGAAAATAAATAATAATAATATTGGGACCCTCTATTCCTGTAGTATGTTCATTGGCTGTGCTTTGTAAGTTAACATCTTAAATACAGGGTCATTTACAAGGCTGTACTTACCAGAATTAGTAACCATCTGATTTCTTTAAAGCTTCCTAGGAATCCAAAAAATGATATAAAACCAATGATCGATCCAACACCAACCAACATAAAAGAAATGTATGTTACCAAGTGGTTCTCACCTGTGAAAGCTGAAACAAAATTAATTCTTAACATGCCGTTTTTTCTTGCTAACTTGCATTTACAAAACTCTGCCATTAAAACTTCTTCATTTTTAGAAATGCATTGTGCCAACTTTTTGAAAGCCATTGTTGAACAGACAGAATTAGTGAAGTCACCAAATGAAGTTATTACCTCCACTGCTAGATCCAGCTGAAGAGACAGAGATCTTTCTTGTGATATTTCACTAACTCCCATTACTGTGAAGAGGAGAAATACATTCACACAAAAAATGGTTGTATTTTTGGGACTTCAGTGTGAACCACAATACAATGCATTCTGGGACACCAAGAGTTGTCCAGCGGCACATTGGAAGTAAATAAGGTTATATTAAAAAGAGTTATATAACAGTTCATCATTAAATTGGAGGATACTCACCTGCTTACAGGTTTGTTGTGCATTCAAAATTCAAGTTAGATTCCTAAACCTATTGGACACTGGTCCAGTTCTCCTTAATTGGAGGATCAGGCTTCCATTTATATTTTATCATCTTTGCAGAGATGAGAAGATGGTTGTGATTCCACCTCTTCCTCTGCTCTCCACACTGCCAAAATGTCTCTAATGGCTAGATGAGTTGTGGTCCTTGGCACACAAATGGCTCTTAAATGCATGACTCCTCCCAGATGGGACAGATCCCTCTCTCAAGAAGTAATTCTGAGGGAGAGTTCAGGACTGTGGGTATGCTTCCTTCCTGTGGATAGAAGGCCAAATGGCTGGTGCAACCAAATACCAGCAGCAGGAGGGGAGCTGCCGCTATACTCTTTTGCAGAAAGTTTTGCCATTTTGCTCTTTAACTGAGCTTGTTCTTGTGTCATTATTGTGGCGACTCTGCCTAGCTGTGCCAATCCAAGGTCACAATGCTTTTCAGGGGCAGCTGGCTTTCTTCCTCCCTCTTAGATCTCTAGGGATAGCCATTCTCTTCCCCAAAAACTGACATGGGGAAAGACAAATAAAGTGAACTCTTTTTCTTCCCTTCTTCCATGTCTAAAAGAAAGATTTTTGAAGTTGCTCTGTGACCTTCTAATCACCTCAGGTTGATGTCTGGAAAGTCCCTTCCCTCACATTCTTCCCTTACTGCAGAAGTGGTAGTTCTCCTCCCAAGCTACACGGGAAATGGCTTGTGGACCCTGGAAGATCTTTTCTATGATTATAGGTAGAACTGGGAGAGTGGCTCAGGCCTGTTCTATACCTAATATTTAGGTTGACCTAGCTATGTTGACTACCATTACACCCTGGCTATGTCTACGCTGGCATGATTTTCCAGAAATGCTTTTAATGGAAAAGATTTCTGTCAAAAGCATTTCCGGAAAAGCGTGTCTAGATTGGCAGGACGCTTTTCTGGAAAAGCACATTTTCCAGAAAAGCATCCGTGGCCAATCTAGACGCTCTTTTCCGCAAAAAAGCCCCGATTGTCATTTTCGTGATCGGGGCTTTTTGCGGAAAACACTACTGTCTACACTGGCCCTTTTCCGGAACAGTTTTCCGGAAAAAGACTTTTGCCCGAATGGGAGCAGCATAGTTTTTCCGGAAAAGCACTGATGATTTTACATTAGATCGTCAGTGCTTTTCCGGAAATTCAAGCAGCCAGTGTAGACAGCTGGCAAGTTTTTCCAGAAAAGCAGCCGATTTTAGTTTTGGTATAGAAACCACAAGGTTGATGGAAGAATACTTCTTCCATTGCTGTTCTCGGTGTCAATCCTACAATTGTCTTTCTCCAACTTTGATAACAGATTTGTCCAGTGAGAGGCAACATAAATTACAGAAAAAAATTCCAACTTTGATAACAGATTTGTCCAGTGAGAGGACATAAATTACAGAAAAAAAAATATGGTGAATTTTAATCCAATACTGCCATCTTGTGAAGAAATCCTATAATTATATCTGTTGTTAGATTCTATAACTTTTGCTAGTCATGGAGTGCAGAAAAAAAATCTATTTATACTCACATAAAACAGCGAATAAATGGTCTCTGTCAAATAGAAGCCATATGCCAAACGTCATAAGCAAAAAACCTAAAACCTGAAAACAATAAGATTTTTAAAAATGTGAATAGTTGCTGAATAATATTTACTAAGTTATTTAACTTTTTAAAATGAAGTCAGAATTCTTACCAAGAAAATTCCATTGAAGATGTTTAGAAAGTATTTGAGGATTAATATTGTGTCTCTCAGTTTCATTCTTTCTGTTTAATGGGTTCTGAAAATATAATTATTCATTCAGCGTAAATCATTAATTCAATATAAACAATAGGATAAGTAACTGCTTAAGTATATGTTTGAGTACAGTTCTAGAAGTGTAAATATTTACTACTGCTACTCTGAGTTACAAAGTAGCTGGATCACAGAGGTGTCAAGATGGCTGACAAGTCATAGCTACAGTCACTCACTTTTTTATTACTTTTTTTTAAAACATTTTTATAGCTGTGGTCAGTCTCACTTTTTTTTCAGTCTTTCTGCATCTGAAATGACTTTTGGGGCCAGGAGGGATGAAGGTGAGTGTGTCAAGATGTCAGTTACGGTACTGCCTGCTCTACATTTACACAGCACCACTGTGATCCAAAGAATTGTACCCAATTAACAGTTTACTGTACAGACCAGTATAATGAAAGATATTGATTAATAAGCATATAATATAAAACACAATTAATTTTTGCTTTACTTGACAACACAGTTATGCTGTGCATTAGGAATCTTTACTAGCTAAACGTTATACTTTTCACCATTCTAAGCTTCTTAAAACAGCTGCCTTTTGATTTGTTTAATTCTATATTACAAAAACAAGTAGACAATGGATAATGGCTGTTACACTGCCCCGGATTAGATTCCATTACTCTTAAAATAATGCACTATGTATTCATAATGAATTAAATCTCATCAGACTTTTTCACATCTATAATTTAATCAAATACTCTCAGGAAAACAATACTAATGGATACATGTTATCTGACAAACTTGGACATGAAATAGTCAACAATTTGTGGAGCAAGAAATTATTGCATTTTAGTATGTCAGAGTTAAAATTGTTTATACACCACATTTCAGTCTTTGTAAAACTGATTGTCTGAAAGGTAAAAATAGTGCTATTCTCACAGAAGCATTTAAAGTAGTTATCTTATTAAAATACAAGAAACAAGAAACAAGAAAATCCTTACCAGTGCTGAGTATTTCACTCTCAGCAATCTAGGGAGCACTACCATATAGTGGCCTAAACTAATTTCCTTACTCCATCTTAAATATATGTTTACTAATTCTTTTGTTGATAATATTTTACTTCCTTGTTACAGAAGACAACCATGAACAAAACTCTACAGGTGTTTCTTTTCAGTGCTGAAATAAGTTGTTTGCTTTAATTAGCATGAGCACAATGAGTAAGTCCATGTCTTCACTACAGGGACGAGTGTTGACACAGCCTACTCCAAATGAAGGGGCTTTCCCTTTAGTGCAGGAATACTCTATTTTGAGAAATGGCAGTTCGGTTGACAGAAGAGGTCTTGCATTGACCTAGCTGTGTCTACACGTGGGGTGAGATTATTTTTTTCCACACCTGAGCAATGTGGTTTTGCCACCCTAAATGTGAAGTGAACCTCAGGCCACACTCAGGTACCGGAAGGTAAATGTCACTAAATATTCTTCAGGGACAGAACTAATTCCAAGGCTCTGATTGATTCTTTATAAGATCTCATGACCGCCAGACCCGGCTCATGACGGGAGCGGGGGGCGCCTACTCATGATCCGGTGTATAGACAGAAAGTGCAACTACGAGCCAATCAGGGGAACGTGATGGATGGGGGACAGCTACTAACGCGAGGCGGGCGAAGGCGTTTTCCCCGAGTCTGCAACAACCTTTCTCTCCTCCTTCCCCACGCCCCCTTTCTGGAAGGCAAAGTGGGGTCTGCCCAATAACTTAGTCCCCTCCGGCTTGCCTTAGCTCAGACCTCGCTCTCCCCCCCCCGCAACGTCGTTGCCATGGTTACGTTTCCTGTTTAACACGGCTGCGGGCGCGGCTCGAGGGTTTGCGAGCAGGTCTGTGTGAGCCGAGGCCCGCATCCCGGCTGGGGGGGGCTGACAGCATTCGCGGGGCCATCCAGCTCCACCCCCGGGGGCTGCGAGGGTAGATCCTGGGGAGTGCGCGAGCTGCCCAGCGGATGGGAAGGAAGGGGAACTACCGCTCCCAGCGCGCACCGGGGCTTGGCCGCGCGGCGCTTTGAAGCCAGGGAGCGGTAGAGTGCGGGAGGGCATTCTGGGAGTTGTAGTCTTGTGGGCGGACAGTTTGTGTCTTGCTGTAGTTGCCCAGCGTTGAGTAAAAGGGAAATTTCTTCTCTCCCAGGCTAAGAGCCTGTTCCCAGGGGATTCTTCCCTTCCGCTCCCTCTGCCTTCACTCCCTGGATCCTGTTACTCTAATAACTTGGGCGTTCTTTGCATTTGCATTCTTAGTCCTGGAGCAGCGTTCCCTGTAAGCTGTGCGCTTGGGTGTCCCTTCTGGAGAAATTCAAAGGCCACCTAGCAGAGCGCCCACAGCTAGGTTTTCTGTTTCTACTCGTGCTGCACGACCGAGTTGCCGTGCCATGGCCTCGGCCCAGGACCCACCCTGGCGACCTGGGGGAGGAAGTTGAGGCTGGGGGAGACCCCCCCGTCCCCCCCCCCCCCCCCCTCCCCCCCCAGCCTATATCCCCTATAGCAGCCCCTCCCCTGGACTCAGTCTCCTGAGAGCCAGGGCTGCCTGTCCCTACAGAGAGGGCGGTTGATGGGCATAGCGAGCAGGGAGCACAGCCCCCTAGTATATTTAAAAAATAATAAAAAAAGAAATCACACATAGACGTGAAAGATTAGAGGGAACCTGGCTCTTATGTTCAGTCTTTTCTGTGCAGAACATTAGAGCAAAACACTTTTCATGAGCAATCAGTAAATTTAGGGGTGGGGGCTTGCCTCCCCCACCCTGCTCCTTCCTTTGAGGGCCTGCACCCCTACCAGGGAGAGCATGGCAGCACCCCGCATGTGCTTCTCATCACCACAAGGAGGGTAGGGAGGAGGGCAGGCATTCACGCACCCCAGCTCATGCTCCCGGCCCTGGAGCATTGGGGAGAGAGGAGGACAGGTAGCTCCATGTGACCCAGCCTCCCTAGCCCTGGAGCATGGGGAGGACAGGTACTCAAGGCAGTGACACCCAGCCCCCAGAATACCTACAAAAGGGGCCAGCCTTGCGGCTTGGGAAGGCTGTGTCTTCTTCCACCTAGCATAGGGTTACCGTACCTCTGTTTTTTCCTGGACATGTCCTCATTTTCACTTGTTTACTCTCTGTCCTGCTGGGTTTTTTTAAATTGCAAAAAATGTCTGGGATTGTGCCCTGTAAAGGGGATCAGGGAGGAGGCGAGGGCACGTCCTAATATCAGATTTGTGTCCATTGACACCAAAGACTCAATGCCCTAGTGCCTGCAAGGAAAAGCATGTGGCCACAGCAGCGGCTGCTCTGGTGAGACCCAGGGCAGGTCCGATGGAGTCACTGCATTACTCTCTGTCTTGCTAGGTTATGTCCCCGACTCTGCAGGAGGAGAAGGTCATTGGGTTGGAGCCAGGAAGACTGGAAGAGGGGCTAGTACTGGGGGAGGAGTGGGTGCACGGGGTTAGAGTTAGCGAGCAGGGAGCACAGCCCCCTAGTATATTTAAAAAATAATAAAAAAAGAAATCACACATAGACGTGAAAGATTAGAGGGAACCTGGCTCTTATGTTCAGTCTTTTCTGTGCAGAACATTAGAGCAAAACACTTTTCATGAGCAATCAGTAAATTTAGGGGTGGGGGCTTGCCTCCCCCACCCTGCTCCTTCCTTTGAGGGCCTGCACCCCTACCAGGGAGAGCATGGCAGCACCCCGCATGTGCTTCTCATCACCACAAGGAGGGTAGGGAGGAGGGCAGGCATTCACGCACCCCAGCTCATGCTCCCGGCCCTGGAGCATTGGGGAGAGAGGAGGACAGGTAGCTCCATGTGAAGGTGTGAATTCCAAGAGAATAGAAGCTGCTTTTGTAGTTAGCAAGCCATTCACAGTCTTTGTTTAATCCAGAGTTGATTGTGTCAAACTTAAAGATGAACTGTAGCTCAGCAGTTTCTCTTTGAAGTCTGGTCCTGAAGTTTTTTTGCTGCAGGATGGCTACTTTTAGATCTGCAATTGTGTGTCCAGGAAGATTGAAGTGTTCCCCTACAGGTTTTTGTATGTTGCCATTCCTAATATCAGATTTGTGTCCATTGACACCAAAGACTCAATGCCCTAGTGCCTGCAAGGAAAAGCATGTGGCCACAGCAGCGGCTGCTCTGGTGAGACCCAGGGCAGGTCCGATGGAGTCACTGCATTACTCTCTGTCTTGCTAGGTTATGTCCCCGACTCTGCAGGAGGAGAAGGTCATTGGATTGGAGCCAGGAAGACTGGAAAAGGGGCTAGTTCTGGGGGAGGAGTGGGTGCACTGGGTTAGAGCAGGAGGTCTGGGAGGGTGGCTCGTTTTTGGGGGGAGAGCAGTGGCACTGAGTTAAAGCAGGGAACTGTGTGTTAGAACTTCTGGCTTCTTTCCTTTCCTGTAGGTAAACAGTGGGTCTGTTGGTTATGTCTGGGGGTTCCAGTCTCATCTTTGTGAGGACTTTGGGAGCTGATGCTTGGTGGAGTGGGTAGGGGAGAGGAAGGGATTCTGGGAAGCAGGATTCTTGGGTTCCTTTTCTAACCATGACATTTCTACTCTTTGTGCCTTTAATTTCATGTCCCAAGACGGACCCCAGCTAGAAGCCTCCCTGGTCCCACACTCTCTCCTCATAGCTAGGTCAGTCCAATACCTATAGACCAGGACTAACTCTCTGGGTGGATGCTCTTTTGTTGCACTCGTAAGAGTGCTTTTTCTGAGTAAGTGTCCACACAGACTAACTCTCTGGGTGGATGCTCTTTTGTTGCACTCTGTTTCTGAGTAAGTGTCCACACTCTCTGGTGAGACCCAGGGCAGGTCCGATGGAGTCACTGCATTACTCTCTGTCTTGCTAGGTTATGTCCCCGACTCTGCAGGAGGAGAAGGTCATTGGATTGGAGCCAGGAAGACTGGAAAAGGGGCTAGTTCTGGGGGAGGAGTGGGTGCACTGGGTTAGAGCAGGAGGTCTGGGAGGGTGGCTCGTTTTTGGGGGGAGAGCAGTGGCACTGAGTTAAAGCAGGGAACTGTGTGTTAGAACTTCTGGCTTCTTTCCTTTCCTGTAGGTAAACAGTGGGTCTGTTGGTTATGTCTGGGGGTTCCAGTCTCATCTTTGTGAGGACTTTGGGAGCTGATGCTTGGTGGAGTGGGTAGGGGAGAGAAAGGGATTCTGGGAAGCAGGATTCTTGGGTTCCTTTTCTAACCATGACCTTTCTACTCTTTGTGCCTTTAATTTCATGCCCCAAGACGGACCCCAGCTAGAAGCCTCCCTGGTTCCACACTCTCTCCTCATAGCTAGGTCAGTCCAATACCTGTAGACCAGGACTAACTCTCTGGGTGGATGCTCTTTTGTTGCACTCGTAAGAGTGCTTTTTCTGAGTAAGTGTCCACACAAAGAGTTAATGAGGAATGGCTAATGTACCCTATCTACTTTGGGCTCTTCCCTTGTGTATAAGTCCTAAGGAGTCTTGCTTAATTTTCTGAGGTATACTTCTTGAGGAGGGAAAAGAATTATGTATGAATTGTAGATCAAACTTTCAAAACCCTACTAGTACCATGAGGCTTGCTACTTAAATTGCGGCTAGCTATTCTGGTTTATTTTGCAGTTATTTATATTGATTATTATATGCTGAATTTATCAAAAATATTCTAAATGTACACAGAAGTTGAATCAGAAAGTCCCATGGTCCTTTATTCCTAAACCAACTCTCATGTTCTAAAACTTCAACTCCCAAAGTTTGCTATATTGTACCTGCTATGCCTCTTCACTGTGCTTTTCTTGAGCAGGTACCTATCTTAGTTTTCAACTAAGTACTGTATAATATGCAGATGAAAGGTATAGGAAAACTGATTATTTATGTTTATACTTAACAATAGTACCAACATGAAAGGATAAGGTTTGTGGGACTTTGAAGATTGATAGAAACTACCCATGAGTATTTCCATATAAATAAATTAGCATGGACTGCCTACCAACACAGCAACTTGTTTAGCAGCTCAAGTTCATTCCTAGACTGCCCTGTAGGCTTTACCTTAAGTTGTTAACCCACATTGCTATGTCTTTGCTATATTAATCGAGTTACCAAATTCTTTGAGTGACCCCCACCATCAAAAATTATTGCTTACCTCAATACTACACACAATTTTTCCTGGTATATATGTACCCTTGAGCTCATATAGCTTTCCTCATCTGAGTTGTCTCATTAAAGCCAATTAAAGTTGCACACATGTACATGTTTGTAAGAATGGGTGCTAAAATAATATTTTACTATTTATATGCACCCTTTCCTCTCAAAAGTACTGATACGTATCAAATTTTAGTTCCAGCCAAACCTTAATTTTACAAAGCATGTATTTCTACTGATATCAGTAGGACTACTCATGTCTCTAAAACTAAGTGTTCATGTAAGTCTTGTCATGATTGGAACCTTGCTGTGGATATTGATTAATTTTTTATCTTAGAGAAAGAGTTATGAGATACCTGCTATAGCAGTGATTGGCAAAATGTAGCCCATGGCCACATCTGGTCCACCATTGAACTGTGGCTCAGCGGAAGCTTTGGGCAGGCTTCCTGCCTCTTGCAGCCCTGGATGCTGTTCACAGTTGCTGACTGCAGGAGCCACGTGCATCTCTGCAGGCTGTGTGTCCCACAGAGGGGGTTGTGTGCTGCCCCCACCCTAAGCACAATTCCACAGTTCCCATTGGCCAGAAACCACCCAATAGTAGCTGTGTGGGCTGTGCTTGCAGCAGTCAGTACACAGAGTCCCCTTGCGTGGGGTGTGTGGCATGTAGAGATGTTATACCAAATAAAAGCAAGCAGGATCTTATGAGGGGGATAAGGCAAAAAGCCACATTTATTGTAAAGATAATAATAAAAAAATAAAGAAAAGATAGAAGCAAACAACGTTGTTTAACTACTTATTCCTAACACTACTTAACCCTTATACACACACACACACACACACACACCATACATTCATACATCCATTCATTCTATTTCTGTGTATAGTAACCAGCCTGGAAGTTGCTTGTGACAGAATACTGGCCAGGTATTCTGTACACAAGTGATGGTAGTGGGGAGCGAAGTCCTGATCAGATGCACATCTGAAGCTCCTGGTGGGCTGGCAGCAGAACCTTGGACTCTGATTCCATAGTTTTTTAGTCCAGTTCTTATAGGAATTTCTTCCTATGCCAGTCTATGGAAATTGCTGCATCATGCTGATGTCTCCAGGGTGGCTGCCAGGTGCTCATCAGTGATCTCATCGGGTGGACCTCC